TGCGCCCCAAACCCCAAACCCCAAACCCCAAACCCTAAACCCTAAACCCTAAACCCTAATCCCTGCACCGTGCCTGAACCCCGAAGCCCCCAAAGCCCGCGCAGGCCCTCTTTTCTGCGCTCCTCCTCCCCGCTTAGGCTGCAGGGTCCAGTGTTGGAGCTAGGGTTTAGGGTTTAGGGTTTAGGGTTTAGGGTTAGTGAGGATAGCCATGCGTTCTGGGGGGCAAACTTTGCCGTAAATGAAGGGCCTGTTCAAAGCCCTGGCCTCTGAAAAGACAATTATTTTGTCGCCTTTGGCTTCGTGGAACTTCAGCAAAAACTCGCAGACCATCAGCTTCGAGGGGTTGCACACCCACAGCTTCCGCTGCTTCGCGTACGGAGCCTGCGCAAAAACCCTAAACCCTAAACCCTAAACCCTAAACCCTAAACCCTAAACCCTAGGGCTCACGCCCCAGGCGCTGCGCGCTGCGCCCTAAACCCTAAACGCAAACCCTGCGCCGAGGCACGAGGCACGAGGCGCTCTGCGCTGCGCGCTAAATTCTAAGCCCTAAACCCTAAACCCTAAACCCTAAACCCTAAACCCTGGGCCCTGGACTCTAAAGCCTAAACCCTAGACCCTGAACCCTGGACACTTGACCCTAAACCCTAAGCCGTAAACCCTAAACCCTAAACCGTAGACCCTGAACCCTGGACCCTAGGCCCTGAACCCTCGCCCCTAGACCCTAAACCCTAGACCCTAAACCCTAGACCCTCGACCCTGGACCCTAGGCCTTAAACCCTAAACCCTAGACCCTAAACCCTGGACCCTGGACCCTAGACCGTGAACGCTCATTCCTAGACCCTGAACCCTAAACCCTAAACCCTAAACCCTAACCCCTAAACTCTGGGCATGTAATCATCCTAAACCCTAAACCCTACACCCTAAACGCGAAACCCTAAACCCTAAACCCTCGGGCGCAAACGCTGCGCACAGAGCACAAATCGGCACCTCTGCAACGAGAACCACAGCCTCCGGGCTAGCGTCAGGGTTTAGGGTTTAGGGTTTAGGGTTTAGGGTTTAGGGTTTGGGTACTCTGAGGTACTCCCTGTAGAACTCGGCAGTCATGGGGCACCAAACTTCTTGGCAAGAGACTTTGGCGAGATAACCCTGAAGACGAAAAATGAAATTTGAAAATTAAATCCAAAAAATTAATTTTAATTTTAAATTTTAAATTTTAAAATTTAAATTTTAAATTTTAAAATTTAAAATTTAAGAAGAAAAAAACGAAGGGGAAAAGAAGGGAAAAGAAAGGGAGTTTCAAACAATTAGGGTTTATTGAAACATGAAAAAGGAAATTTTAAAATTTGAAATTTGTTGGAATTTTGAAATGAAAAATGAATATTTTAAAATGAAAAAAACTGGAAAAAGACACAACTGGAGGGTTAAATAATTAGGATTTATTTTGAAAAATAAAAAACGGAAAATTGAAATTTGAAATGAAAAAAAACGGAAAAAGAGAAAATTGGAATGGAAAAAAGTGGAAAAAGACAGAAAAAAGACTTTTAAACAATTAGGGTTTCTTTAAAAATAAAAAAGGGAATTTAAAAAGGAAAAGAAGTGAAAAAAGAAATGGAGGTTTAAATAAACAGAGTTTATTTAAAAGTGGAAAACGGAAAAATGGAATTTCGAAGCGAAAAAAAGCGGAAAAAAGACAGAAGTGTTTCTGAGGAAGTAGGGCTTATGAAAAGACAAAAAAAGGGAATTATTATTTTTATTTATTTATTTATTTATTTATTCTTTATTTAGTTGTTTATTTGTTTATTTCTTCATAATTCATTTATTTGTTCATTTCTTGTTCATTCGTTTACGCACTTATTTGTTTGTTTACTTATTTGTTTATTTATTTGCTTGTTCCTTCATTTATTTATTTATTTGTTTGCTTATTTATTTATTTATTTATTTATTTATTTATTTATTTATTTATTTGTTTCTTTTTATTTATTTCCAAAAATATTTATTAAAATGAAAAGCCTGATTTTGAATATCAATCCAGTTGGCCTCGTAGAGCTTGGGGCCAATAATCCACCTATTTATTTGCGTGTTTACTTATTTGTTTATTTGTTTATTTTATATTTATTTATTTATTTATTTATTTATTTTATATTTTTATTTTATTTATTTATTTATTTATTTATTTATTTATTTATTTATTAAAATGAAAAACCTGATTTTGAAGATCAATCCAATTGGCTTCGTAGAGCTTGGGGCCAATAATCCAACTATTTATTTATTTATTTATTTATTTATTTATTTATTTATTTTATATTTATTTATTTATTTTTTATTTATTTTTTAAAATGGAAAACCTGATTTTGAAGATCAATCCAGTTGGCTTCGTAGAGCTTGGGGCCGATAATCCACTGCAGGTCTTTGATCAAGTCATCTTCGCGCACCAGCGTGGCGGTGAGTCCGAGGCGGCAGTGGGCTCTGAAAAGCGCAAAAAAGAGCTCCAAAGTCCCCGAATTTCCGCCAATTTGTTCCAATTTGTTCCAATTTGTTTTATTTTATTTAAATGCATTTAAATTGACAGAAAAAATAATTCAAATCCGAAAAAATGAGGGCTTTTCCGCAAAGATCGACCCGTTTTCCCGCGTCCGCCCGCGGCGCGCGCAAGCAACTGGAAGAGCAAAGTGGATTCAAATCAATTGAAATTAATTAAATTAATTTAAATTAATTTTAATTAATTTAATTAATTAAATTAATCAAATAAATGAATAGAGGAATTAAAATGCGAAAGAATGAGGGGCTTATTGCCGGGAATCCGGCCACATGTTTTTCAGATTTTGCAATTCAAGTTTTCCTTCGGCTGCGGACTGAAAGATGAACTTTTGAATTGTTTTTTTTGATCGCCGATTTAAAACAATTAATTAAATTAAATTAATTAAAGTAAATTAAATAAAATAAATAAAAATAAATAAGTTAAATTAAAAGAAAGCAAACAACAGCAGCGAAAAAAGGGATTCAAGAAGCCAGAAAGACGAAGAAAAGCTCAGCCGCAGCAGCAACAGCAGCAGCAGCAGCAGCAGCAGCAAAAAAAGAAGCTGCAATTAATTTTGGAAGGGAATTAATTCGAAATAAAGTCCAATTCGAAGTGCAATTTGCATGCAATTAATTATTAAAACAAACAAACAACACAAATAAACAGCACAAATAAATAATAAATAAATAATGAACAAAAAACAAAGATTAACAATAAATAAAAGGAATTCAGAAAACAGCCGAGAAGCGAAATTGCACAAAAGAGCAGCAAAGCGTCTGCTGCAGCTTCCTCTACACCGCAGCCGTCGCAGCAGCAACAGCAGCAGCAGCAGCAGCAGCAACAGCAGCACCATCACCACCAACAGCAGCAGCACTACCACCATCATGACCATGACCATAACCATAACCAGCAGCAGCAGCAGCAGCAGCAGCAGCAGCAGCAGCATAACGACCATCATGCCCACGCCCATGCCCCTCATCACCATCCGCAGCATCCGCAGCAGCAGCAGCAGCAGCATCCGCAGCAGCAGCAGCAGCAGCATAATAACGCCCATCATGCCCACGCCCACGCCACGCCCCTCATCCGCAGCAGCAGCAGCAGCAGCAGCAGCAGCAGCAGCAGGAGGACCTGACGAGCGCGTTGATCTTGCGGAAAGCAGGAGCTGGGGCGAACTGGACTTCGTCGAAAATGAGAATTCCCCATTCTCTGTTTTGGATTTGGCTGAGGACTGCAGCAGCAGCAGCGCTGCGGCGGCCGGAGAAGGCCAGCATGGTGTACGTACTCAGCAGCACGCCTGCTGCTGTGGGGCCCCACAGCTGCTGCTTGCTGTCTGCTGTCAGCACCAACAGTTCTTTTTCTTTTATGCTGCTGCTTTCCAAAAACTGCCGCCGCCACTGCTCAACAGCAACAGCAGAAGTGGTGAGGACCACTGCGCTGCGCTGCAGTGTACAGACAGCTGTTATCCCAGTCAAAGTCTTCCCCGCCCCACACGGCAGCACTATTATCCCGCTGCGCGCCCGCCCGTTGCTGAACATCTTCCGCAATGCTCGCTCCTGGTAGTACCTGCAGCAGCAGCAGCAGCAGCAGCAGCAGAGGTGCAGCAGCAGCAGCAGCAGCAGGTGCGTGAGCAGCAGCAGCAGCAGCAGCAGGTGCGTGAGCAGCAGCAGTGCAGCAGCAGCAGGTGCATGAGCACCAGCAGCAGCAGCAGCAGCAGCAGCAGCAGCAGGTGCAGCAGCAGCAGCAGGTGCAGCAGCAGCAGCAGCAGCAGCAGCAGCAGCAGGAGACCTGATCTTGGTGGTGGACTTGAGGGTGAGGTTTTGGAGTTTGGGGTTTTTGGAGTCTCTTCGAAAGTCATATTCGCTCAGCAGCGGCCGCTGCAGCTGCTCGATGGCCACCCGCTTCAGCTCCTCCACCTTCTCCGCCCGCACCTGGAAGGAGTACACCTGCAGCTATTGCTGCTGCTGCTGCTGCTGCTGCTGCTGTTGCTGCTCTCAGGATTGCAGCGGGGCCAGAAGGCAGCAGCGAGGCAGCAAACCCGAGAATTGGCTTAATGGTATTCTTTTTTAAAATTCAAGAGATTAAAAAGGAAAAAAACACGAAGGAGAGGCAGCAGCAGACCAGCGAAGCAGCAGCAGCACAAGCAGCACGCAACAGCAGCAGCAGCAGCAGCAGCAGCAGCACACACTCTTGGAAGTATACATAAGGCACTCACTTGGCGTTCATTGTTGCCCTTTTGCTGCTGCTGCTGCCCACCCTTAGCACCAGGCTCCGTCTTAACGTCTGACATGCTGCTGCTGCTGCTGCTGCTGCTGCTGCTGTCTGCTGCTGCTGCTTCATCCGGCTCGGATGTCACAAAGGCCAGCTGCGAAGCATCCAGCGTGGGCGCGCTGCTCGTCAAGTAGATATTTTCCTGCTGCTGCTGCTGCTGCTGCTGCTGCTGCTGCTGCTCGGCGGAGTCGGAACTTCCTGGAGGCTGCTGCTGCACCAAACGCATGAGCTGCTGCTGCTGCTGCTGCTGCGGCAGCAAAGAGGCACTGCGAAACTGCGGATTCGACAAAAGATGATCCAGCTCATGTTTGCTGGCAGACTCGATGAAGTAGCGGCTTTCATTCAGCACCAGCTTCACCTGCGCAAACCCTAAACCCTAAACCCTAAACCCTAAACCCTAAACCCTAAACCCGTGATGCTGCACCTGCGGTGGGGAACCAGCCGGAAGACTCCCTATGCAGCAGCAGCAGCAGCAGTATCACAACGCCGAATGCAGCCACAGCAGCAGCCACTACTACTGCAGCAGCAGCAGCAGCAGCAGCAGCAGCAGCAGCAGCAGCAGCAGCAAACCTTGCCGAAGGCTGCAGCAACGTTTTCGATCTGCTGCACCAACTCCTGGGGCAGCACATTTTTGCTGAGTTTGTTTAAATTGAAAAGCAGCTCCGAGGCAGTCAGCCCCACAGAAATTGCTGCGTACAACGAGAACACCGTCAGCTGCAGCAGCAGCAGCAGCAGCAGCAGCAGCAAGAGCCATCTCAGAAGCAGCAGCACCCACTCCAGCAACAGCAGCAGCAGCAGCAGCAGCAGAGGCGCACCGACCCCAGCCACAGCAGCAGCAGCACCACCACACCACCTTCCCCACCACTCACCCCCGCAGCAGCAGCAGCAGCAGCACCCCGCAGCAGCAGCAGCAGCA